AACATACAAATATCTGGAGTTAAAGCTGACTGAGGAGCACTGGATGCCCACTTCTCTATTAGCTCCTGAGGGATTTCTTTTTAAGTCTGTGCTTCAGCATTTTTGCATGCTCCTAGACCAACTATTTCAAGCTTTAAGAGCACAACCTACATGCGGCCTTCACATTGGCTGGTTGGAATAAACAAAGATACAGTCAAAATGAACACAGATTTAGTCTACTTCTACAACTGAAAAACAATTCAACTGTGAAACTGCCTGGACTACGTTAAAGCTGCAAGAATCCTTGTGCTCAGCTGTATTACTCGCGCTCTATCAGATACAGAAGCAGAGCATCACCCACTGGAATGCCTTTGATCAATTTGTTTGGTAGTATTTGCTTAATGGTAACAGTATTTTTTAGTAGCTTTAACTGTTTCTTAACTGGACTTGAAATATAAAGGAAAAAAGTATTTCTGAAACACCAGACGCAGGGAAGGGAAGGAGCTGGTACGTCTGAAAGGAACAGCGAAGTAGTAAGCAGGCTCTCAGCTTCATTCGCAGGCTGTTAAAGTGAACATGGTCACAGCAGCTCTCAGAGGTTTTCCAACGAACGTCACAAGTTTAGATGTACAAAATTTTCAAGGTCTTCCCTTACTGCACTCCTCTTACACCCAACTGTCCTCTCGGCATTTCTCCTCGTTCTCACCAGCCTTTAACATACGATCACCACACGGCACTGCATCTGGGCAGAGGTACCCTTCCTCCCGTACTCGGCTTTCGTACTACTGATGACGAGCATGGCTGTGTATTTCTTTCTTTGAAACAGCATCTCTTCTTCCGTATACCAGGACCTAGGTATAATACTTCATACATGGCAGATGCACTGATGACCTAACATTAGTACAGCGATAAATAAACCATGAGATCTTCATATTTCTGTGTAAACTTTATCCAGACGCAACTGGTGACAACAATTTTTCCATATCCAGGACTTCAGTAATACCCTCTCTCTCTCTTTCTGGGTGCTTGCTAAATTTCTTCTCATGTTAATTGCAACAAAATTCATCCTTTCCCCACAAACCCATCATTTTCTTTATCATCTGCTCACTGCTTTAACTAGAACAGACTCCACATTTTCTCATCTTTCTTCTACTCATTATACCTGCAACACTCCCACAAACTAATTCCCATTACATCAGCCCAACTCCAGTCCGTTCATGTCTCTTGCCACACTAAATTCTCGTTTCTCATCTTTAGATTGTACTTCTCTGCCTCCTTTTCTTCCTACCTTTCTTGTCTTCTTTTTCAAATCTATACCTTTCCACTCCCTAACGCTCTCTCTATGGCTGGGCCAGATTCCTCCACCTCTTCCTCCCATCACACTCATGAACCAGTCCTCCACAGCATCATTCTGCCCTTCACATCCAGCTGCCTTACTTTACATCATTTAATCCCTGTCCCTCAAGAGCAAGTCGTTACTACTAACAATTCCAATTTCATAAGTACAACACCATACACTAGAAGCCATAGTACAAAACGAAGAAAGCCTTTGATATAGTGATCCACAGTTTGAATTTCAAACATACCATGTAAAGAAACCTCTGGTTTTTTCTGATAAGGGAAAAAAAAAAAGGCATTTTGTAGCTCAGCATATGCTAGGATAACTGCCTCTCTGGTGTCGCCTTTCAATGACAACAGATCAATCTTCTCAAATTCTTCTCAAAAGTTTTGTATCAAATTGGTCCTAGTCCAGATTAGCCTCTTCCTACCGCGCGTACTGAAGGCAGCCTTTGTTTGGTTTGTTTTATCTTGTTCTCAACACCAAAAAAAATTCCTAACCCAAAGACAGGTTTTCTTCAACTTAAAAGCAAGAACTCAACTGTTGAGCTGTTCACAATGAAGTATGCTGTAACTGTTTTGAAATATAAGAGCTACACAACTTACTTATGGGCAGTCATTATTATCATCTACTTTTCCAGATAAAAATAACTGAAGAGATTAAATTTCATTTTCCACCTTTTGTTAGAAACTTGGCATTCTTTTTGATCTCAGATTAACCATGCAGTGTCATCTCATATGTTCACTACCAATGCATCCCTTACCATCCTAGAAATTTCTTGACTTCAACATGTGCAATCCAAAACAGAACTTGAAGCGCTCTGTGCTTCTCTGCGGTCCACGGCACTGATGACCACTACTCTGCGCTGGGGTATTACAGAAACATCAGGTCTCAGACTGTAACTAGTTACAAATTTCCAAATCCATGTGTTCAACAATGTTAGGGGTTCAGGCATATTAATTTACTCCTAAAAACTCTGACTGACTTCCAGTGAGAAGCTCAGAAGTGGATTTTGGATTTTGCATACCAAAATTAAAACTACATATCCTTCACTCCTATACTTCTTTCTAGTTCTTATCTTGACAAAAAAAAGAAAAAAAAAGAAGAAACTAAGCCCTGAAGTGCACTGTTGTATAGCTTCAATTTAGCAGACAGCTAGTCTAAGAAAGCATTTTTATTCAATTTTTCCATAGGGCATACATAACCTAAACAGATTATTTTTAATCTGTCAATTTATTGAGTAAGCAGCAAGGAAATGCAACTGGGGAGTTCAGGTACACATAAATCTATAATCACTGACTTATTTAAAATTAGCCAGGACACTTACTCCAGTAGCTCCAGATTAGAAATCAGTAAAAATGTCACCTTTAGAACAAGAGTCCTTAGACCCACTGCCTTTCATGTTCTACTGCATTTCACACACAAAGCTGAGAAACAGCAGCCATGTCTAAAGACTTTAACACACCTTTCCCCTTTTCACTAAGTCAATTCATCTCTGAGGACAAACTGTCACACGTTGCCAACAGGACAACAGAAATAACATTTTCTGATTTAAAAGTCCTAGTATGGCTATAAAAATTCACTGCAACAGTCATGATAATTGCTTATAATAACCAATAAACCTAATTACATATTATGTCCTGTCTGCTAACTGGGGAAAGGCACACGGGAAGAATCACACAAAAAGCCTCAATTATTATTGCTCTGGCTGCATAACACAGTTTAGCAAAACGTGAAACAAAACAAAGGAATACATTTAGTTCAGTGAATATCTTAATAGGTCCTCACACTGGTTTTACAGAATGTGAGAAATACCATGTAGTTTCACAGTCTAGCTGCCATCACTAATCATTAAAATTTGCCAGAATGGAGCATGCTACAATCTAAAGATGATGGAAAAAAATGTTTTAAAGGCTTAGTACATTTCTAAGTGAATCGTACTCAAAGCACGTAAAGTTCTAAACCAAAGACAAGCAACACAAACAGGGAAACATTTACCTTGATTACACAGCTTGCTAACAAAGTCGGGATGTCACGATCAAGTGCAGTTTACGAAAAAAACCCCGGTAGCCCTGAGTGCACCAGAGATTTGTAACTAAAATAAACCATTCTGCTGAAACGAATATCCATTCATCAAATGGCATCCATAAGATGTAACTGCACCAGCTGACTTTTCCCTTATAACACCATCCAACATCACGTGAACTGTGTGGCATCACAGCTTAAGAGCCATAAACGTGATGATAGCTTTCTCAGAATTGGGATACTCAGAGGTGCCGCTATTCAAGCACACCTATTTCAATCTTCTCTTGAAAAGTCCATTCCAAATGAATGATGGCATGGCCAACTAATTATCACCATCCTCAAAAACTATGTTTCCTGAACAGAGAGTTTCTACACAGTTGCTCTTCTGAATTCAAGGAACACTTTAAACGTTCCAAGGTGAAGATCTCCTTGCAGGAATCAAACCATGTGCTACTGGAAGTCTGAACATCTAATCAATCAAATTTGAAGAAAAGGATCTGTCACCTTTTCAAATGAGGTAAAAAAACTTCATAAAGAAAAGGAATTCTAAAGGATAGGGTATGAGCCATCGAAATAAAGCAGTTATAAAAGATAAAATGGTACTTGACAATAATAAAGCTGGTGGCAAAAATTACTTTCTCCTCTCTGAAGTCTGTAAGCTCCACTCATGAGTCTGTCTGTAATGACAGGCAGTCTATGAATACAGAATAACCCAATAAACAATTTCTGCCTAAAAGAAATTGTTAAATGCCAGAATTTGAGAGAGAACTCTGTAACACGTTTGTCAAATGCATACAGGAGTTTCCAGGATATTTACCCGCTAGTGGACGAGAAGGTATCGACTTCATCACCCTAACCTGTACTACAATACACTGCCTTTCTCTCACCACTTTTAGCCATTCATCTTTTCATTGCCAGAGTTCCACTCTTGCACAATTCTACCAAGGCCCCAGCAAGGTGCCATAGTACTCTGGAACACAGCTCTTAAGCTGTTTTCTTTTTTGCAGTTTCTGTGACTCTTTATGCAACTCAAACGGCACAAAAACTTTAGATAATTCCTTCAGCACAGTAACATCACTCCTAAACGAGTATGATAATGTAACAGAAGTATTCTATATTTAGAAAAAGTTAATGCACAAAGCATAAATAAAGCATAAATTTACCACTGTTATTTATTTGAATGAGATTCTAATGAATATGACACAAATTTTAAATTGATACAACCATGTCTACGGCAAACAAAAAATGTATGCATGCACAGTATCTGATATGAGTTTGAAAAACAATTAATTACAAAACTAAAGTATAAAGTGCTGGATTGCTCATCTGCAAAATAATGACCACTAAATTACGAGATGTCATTCTACTATGGAGGACACACATAAAATTACCCATCTTTCTGGGCTATGATACAAGAAATTTTGAGCATAGTATACTCAAACACATTTCAGCCTCTGCTTTACAGTTACTTCTGAAAGACCTATAGTAACAATTTGCCCTTATGACAGTTTTAGTTAGCTGATAACACATGATTCTCAAAGGAAAAGAAAAATCCTGGAATGATTAAAAAGGCAATGAATCTCAGCATGAATTTTAAACAAGACACATTTCCAATGGTTCTTACATACTCTCGTTCTTGAAATAAAGGACTACTTACTTGATTGGCCATGTAAATTGTGAGGAGACCTCTCCTAGAAATAGAAATTATAAAATTAATGAATGAATTAAACATTTTTTGCATACAGAAGGAAAACACTTTAAGCAGTAAGAATATTCTATTAAAGAGAGTTTAAAAAACAGATCACTGTTGCAGGATGAATCACTACCATCCTATGGAAAAATACATATGAAATCAAAAATAGCACCTTGATAGCATGGATTTAAAGCGGTGAGGAATTACAGGAACCAAGAACTTGCTACTGCACGAGTCCTGAAGCCATCATGAAGGGAGAAGGTACCTTGAATTACGCACCGCATCACAAAATAAAAGCCTACACGTGAGCTGGTAATGCAAACACACCAACCATGGCCAAAGCCCAAGTTAAACTGTGAATTTACAGAAAAACACCTGCATGTAAGCTTCTGGTTTGTGACCAGTGTTACATCACTCCAGGCACCTCAGGCCTTCTGCTTACACTGTCATGAAGTGTGTTTTCTGCCGAGACCAACGATGCAGACATCTACACTTTGAGTATCCTGGAAAATGCCAGAACCTCAGTAACATCTCGCAGTAACACACTTACTTGCAAGAAGCTAGCACAGCTCCCGAGGGACAGGCGCAGCTCCCAGAGTACAGTCTGTGGACTCAGCTCTGTACCAGACATAGTGTGCACAGACCAGCGTGACCATTGCATGCGCACAGGATTTACCCAGCGGATTCTCCCCTGCAGTCTCTATGTCATGCAGGCAGGGATGACACACAGGCAGAGTTTTTTGGCCTCCCACTGATTTTTTCTTTTTTTTTAAAGTACTAAAAAAATAAGAAATTGATTTAAATAAGCTTTAGCTTCTGTTGTGGTCCCTTTTGGCCGAGTGTAAAATGCAACTTGGCAACCACGAAGACAAAGAAAGGAAAAGGGGCCAGAGCAGAGGAAGGAAAGAAATCAGAAGCTGCAGTGCAGCTGCAGCGAGACCGATGGGAGCAGTAGATGGTCGAGAGGAGGGAAAACGTGCAGACAGCAAATGCGCACCCGCAAGTAACTTCCAGAGCTGCAAATACAGAACATTGGTAGATGACATCATCTGCAAGTGCCTGCGGCAAGCCCGTCTCTCTCTGCTGCTGTACAAGGCCCTGGCTAACTCCAAGCAGAAAGATTTCTTCCTCCAAATTAATTCTGTGACTGTTTGAAAAAAAAATAGCACCATGTTTCTGGGGAAAAAAAAAGAAAAAAGAAAGGGACTCTTCTTGGCCCTGTGCTCATGTGCTCTAGCAAGGCTAACCCAACCCTGAACTCGACGGTTAAAAAGTGGGTGGAAGTTCAGAAAATGCTGCGCTGTTTTGTAGCAATGACAGCTGATGGAAAACAGGACAGAAAGATGGAGGGGAGCCATGCAAAAGGGTCACTGGTACAACCCAAGGACTGTATTAAAACTGCAGCTGGTAAATAAAAGAATAATATAATTGGGAAATGATATTACAAGAGCAGGAAATAATTAAAGAACAAAACTAATTAGTTAGCCATGTCTAATCACCTGCTTTGGGGAGGTTTACAGATACTAAGAAACACCTAACACGTCACCCCCAAAGTCCATGAACCAGGGATGAACACTAATCTCAGCAGCAGGCAGCTACACCAGCGACAGTCAGGCCAGGTCGCTACGGGGAAGCCCAAGGGGACACACAAATCCTTGCTGCCCTTTCCTCCTCCATCGCCTCTGTCCCACGCCATTTTCTTCCAGAGGCCGCTCTCATTAAGATCTTCCTTTTGGCCGCCCACTGCCTCCCTCCCACCTCTTCAGCTGGCAGTATATCCCATCCCCTGCTCTGCTTCCAGGGATGTATACGATCTTTAATTTGGGAAAGAAAAACACAAGCTAGGGGCACAGCTCACCAGCGGCAGACCAAGGCTGGGCTACAACCAGGACGTAAGTCAACAGCCAGGAGAGCTGCATCTGTGGGAAAAGAGATGGGATCGCATATCCTGGTCCGTCCTGCCAGTCAGCTGTGTTACATTAAAGAAGGAAAGAAAAACTGTTCTGAAAAAGTCTTAGCAAGACTGGCATCTTTCACCTGAAAAGGGGGATTGCACGAAAGCAACCACATGTTTTAACTATCTCTTAGTTCAAGTACCAAAGAGCAGCAGGGTCTAGCATACTTTTCATTTTGTTTATCCTCTTTTTTCCCAGTTCACACTTTCACATGAATTTTCTTGTGTGCTTGTTAGAGGACTGAGCAGTGTCCTGGAGTTCAGTTACTCAGCACAGGTCACGTCATCTGTGGCTCAACAATTCCACTCTCGTGGATTCCACTTTTAACAGTTAAATTACAACAGACCACAGGCTTCCAGAAGATAATTCTCCTGTTACTTTCTATCTTTCTCAGAGAAAATTTGATAAAATTTGCTTTTCAGGCAACTCGGTAGTGTTCAGACCAAACTCCAACAAGCAATAGCTCTTAAACTATGGCCTATAAACCTCAACAGAGAACAACATATTTTTGTGATTGCACTGCCCAGAGGAAAGAGTCTAAAATAACCGTTAAACGAAAAGCTATAGGATAAAAATAGCAAGGAAGCCTAGCAGTGTACTGGGCTGTATTACCAGAAGTGTAGGTAGGAGGTCAAGGGAAATGCTTAATCCCCTTTACTTGGCACTCACTACACCGCACGGAGTACTGCGCCCGGCTTTGGTCCCCCATACAAAACAGGCATTGATCAAGAAGTGGGGAGAACCACGAGCATGGCCAGGGAGATTTGGACTTGACCTGAGGAAGGAGCATTTTCTCCACCAAGACAGCCGAGCATTGGAACAGGGACCCAGAGGGCTGGTCGGACCTCTCGCCTCAGAGGTTGGCAAGGCTGACCAGCCAAATCCCTAACTCTCTGCTGGTCTGGCTCCGAGCAGGACGCTGCACTAGCTGACTTCCCAAGGCTCATCTGAACAATTCTATCATTCCACAGAAGAAAAAAAAAAAAAGGTAGAAAGCAACTTCAAAATATCATATATTTTTTTTTTCCACGGATTATAAAGTCAGAAGAGATAACAGTGATAAATACTCTGGCTTCTAACTAATCTAAAAATCAAAGTTCTTTAATGAATTAGCCTGTTCTTTAAAAAGATCAAATTTGTCTTGAAGTATTTTCAGTGAAGCCACCAGAACCACTGCTAAGTTATTCTAATGGTACTTGCCTTTACAATTTGCACCCTACTTTAGTCAAGAATCTGCCCAGGCACAGAAACCAGCTACGTCTTTACCTCCACTGTAGGACTACAGAGTCCAACCAAGTCACCCACGTGCCATTACTTAAACAAAAACTGAGCTCCTTCAGTCTCTCCACAGTGTTCCCTAAGATTTTGATCATACTCATGGCTCTTTACTGCAACTGTCCCGATTTTTCACTCATCTTCAAGGAATTAAAATGAAAATACAGGCAATAAAAAACAGATTAAAGATTTCCTATTCTTTGTTTAAACAACGGTATTTTAAAGTCATAGCGATCATTAAGTGCCACTCTCTGACTTTGAATGCATCTGCCTGTGAGCAAGGTATTTAGAGTTTCATGCAAGTGCTGTAAATTCTGGAAAACTTATTTGATTGAGGCCAAAGTCCAATCCCCCTTACATGAGTTAAAAATTCTATTCATGCCAACAGCAGCAACGACAACTGTCCAAATCTGCATGCCAACATATTGTTTGTGGAACAGTTTCCTAAAGAATGTTTTCTTGCTTAGCTTAACACATTATAAAATTCAAAGAATTACTTTACTTTCAAAACTACCATGAGCTTTTGCTTCATATAATAGCAAATCATACAAAACACCAATTTTTAAAATATAACCAAGATGTTTTTTCCTACGAAACTCACTGCCAGTTCTCTCTCCTTATTTATGGTTTTCCTTCAATGTATTTATGGTTTTCCTTAAATATAGACTTGTTGCTAAGCTAAAAAAAAGCAACAACAACAAGGCCCAAAGCCTTCCCTGAAGGTGGGATGAATCCTTAGAACAGGCTGCTGCTCACAGCAATTTTAGCATAAATTAATTATTGCAACCACAGCAGCACTCGAGGAAAATCCCCAACAGAAATCAACTGCCACCTCTTTCTCTACACAGCCACAGAAGAGAGGTAGATGCCTGTCATTTTTAAGCTATTTCTCTCTCAATAATCATTCCTCCTTTAGAAAATTTATTTCTTTCATATGTTTTGCCTTGTCCTGTCCATCTTCTATGTCTCATACATAGCACTCCAGTCCCTGTGGTTTTATGATCATGAATTTTTTTCGGCAATATGAAGTTTGAAGCATTGTTTTCTCTATGGCCTTGTTTCAGTTAAACCACAAACCTTTCCAAGTAGACATCCTTAAATCTAAACATTCACTGCAATTAATTAAACGTATTTGAACTACTATAATTGCAGTTTTTTACCAGTCGTGTGGTTTTTATGATCGCTACTTTACTCCTGCTCAAAACTAAAGGGGAAATAAGTGACCAAGTCAGAAATAACAGGAAATAACTACAGCAAGATGAATGCCGCCACTTACAAAATTCACACAAATTGACTAAACAGGCCCCTCTATCAGTGAGAACAGCTCTAGGCGTGAGCTGTAACAGCGAGCCTGTAAATTCACACCACAGGGCAAGGCACACACTGGGGCAAGCACACCCAGGCCCCACACCCTGCTACAGCTCTTGCAACCTGGCGTACGGCAGCGGTTCGTAGCAGAGATGGCTAGAAGGAGCCTGAAGATGGATAAAGCAGCGTGTTAATAATTTTTATGCATGCAATTAAGAGATGTTCTCTGACTAAAACAGCCTCACTGAGGGGCTGTTTCTCCACCTATATACTACATTTAAACAGCTGGGGGAAAAACCCCATCAAATAAAAAGATCCAACTCACTGCTATGACAAGACTAGTTTTAGCTTTGCTCTAAAGCTTTCTAACTTCATTCCAAGTCCAAAACATCACGTTCCTACTATGTGGTTTTCCAAAAAAATCTTAGTGTTGTCAAACTAGCAAGCCTGACCTGAAAAT